TGAATATACCCAGGGGAGTGGGCCTAAGACGCAGTCTGGCCTCCCTCTGCAGGAGGTAACCAGGCTGATCAGGGGAAGACTTGCTGCCCCCATCACCCCACTGCTGCTGCCACTGCCGGCCACAGCGGCTGCGAGGCCTGAGCCCTGGGTCTCACAGTTGCCGGGGTTCACAGTTGCCTGAGCCCACGGTTGTCATGAGCCCATGGCTGCCTGAGCCCCGGGCCTCACAGCCGCTGTGGCTTTGTCCGGATGGACGTCCGGAAGATGTTTGCCCTAATTAGCATATTATCCTTTTATTAGTATAGATAGCATCCCCCAGATATTTTAAGGGATTGTGATCACCAAAAAGGTGAAGAAGTGTTATTCTGAAGGAGATAGTTCTGCATCTGCTCATTTACCCAAGATAGTTAAACTCAAATTACAAAAGCCTTTAATCAAAAGAGTAGCCCTAGCCAGTTCGGCTCAGTGGATAAAGCGTCGACCTGCAGACCCAAGGGTCCAGAATTCGATTCCAGTCAAGGGCACATATCTTGGTTGTAGGCTCCTCCCCAGCCTGGGCCCTGGTCAGGGCACGTGCAGGAGGCCACCAATCGATGTGTTTCTCTCACATCGATATTTCTCTCTTTTCTTCTCTCTGAAAATATCATGGAAAAGTATCCTCTAGTGAGGATAAAAAAAAAAAGTCTGGGTTGGCAAATGTAGCTACGAGGTTGTTTCAGACAGATTGTATTAAAAATATTTAAGCTAGAATGTAGAGACCTAAAAGACAAAAAAACAAGCTACAGACATAAATTACCCGATTATGGGTAAACCTAGAAATTCAAAAGGGAAAAATGTGGCAAGCAGGGCTAGGCCTCTCTAAGGTAATTACTTTAATACAATCAGCACCAAGGGGAAACAGTATTCTGTTGCAGTCTATTGACAGTATAAATAATTAAAAATGTGATTAAAGAGTGACTTCAAAAGTATATTCTGCCTGGCCAGTGTGGCTCAGTGGTTGAGTGTTGTCCTATGAGCCAGGAGGTGGTGGTTGGTTTCTGGTTGGGGCATATGCCTGGGTTGTGGGCTGGATTCCCAGTAGAGGGAGTGCCAGAGGCAGCCAATCAATGACTCTCTCCCACTCCCTTCCTCTCTGAAATCAATAAAAATATATTTTTTAAAAATGTATATACTGTACTGATTTCCAGAATATTCAGGATTATAAGAGCATCTCAGAAGTATTACAGAAACAGAAAAAATTATTTTTAGCACCATTTCTAAATGGGGGACTAGTCACTAGAAGTAACATGTTGCAGAAACAAATGAGGTTTCCATTCCATGCCTCACACTCCTGTCTTCATTACTGAGACAGAGCAGCTTTCCTGAGCTGTCGCAAGGCTATGTTGAGATTTAAAAGTAAAGTTAGCTTGAATCTTATCCACTTCATTAGCCAGAATTTAAGGTCATCTGCATTTTGCTCTGTTATACTTAAAAGAAATACATAATGTTAAATGCTCTGTTTTTTTGAATATATTTCTTATTGATTTCAGAGAGGAAGGGAGAGACAGAAACATCAATAATGAGAATTATTGATCAACTGCTTCCTGCACACCCCACACTGGGGATTAAGCCTACAACCCAGGCATGTGCCCTGACCGGGAATCAAACTATGACCTCCTAGTTCATAGGTCAATGCTAAACTATTGAGCCACACTGGCTGGGCAATGCTTTACTGTTTTAATTCACATAAGCCATTTTAACTGTTTGGTTTGAACAGTGAAGGTCTATGGTATGTCAAATGTTATGATTTTTTCAGGGCACAAAAACGGTAGTGAGGGAAAATGCTACAGGATTTAGAATTCTTATACAGTGGAACCTCAAACTCTGAGCATGGGCAGTTGAAAATGTTTGAGTATATATTAAGCGCAAATTGACCCCTATTTTTGTCCTTGGGAATCTTAACAGTTTAGCAAACAACCACAAGTGACTGTTGTAGAGGTAATGCAATAGCAGGGTACTTTAAATGAAGGACAAATACATCCACTTGGGAGGTAGGCAAAATTGTAGACTTTTAAAAGGCTACTTACTACTAAAAGGCAGGTTGATATTGAGATTTGCAGACCAAGAGGCAGGGAAAGCATTCCAAGGAAAAGCAACCACCATGAACAAAGCAGAGACATCATCTGGGGCAAGCCCTGTGGTTCTCAAGCTTTCCTTCCCTAACCCCTCAAAAACAACAAAAAACAAAAACCCAAAACAAAACAAACCCCACATATAACGGATATTATAATGGATAACACATTTCCCACAGCTGGATTTGGCTGAATGCTTGCCCTCTTCTCCCAAATTTGGAGGCAAATAAAGCATCCAACAACTTGTTAAAATTTTTTAACTACCACAGTTTAGCCTTTTTTTTTTTTTTTTTTAAAGAAAGGGTTTATAAGACCAATTTTACACACACACACACACACAAGACTTTTTGGGGTATGGAATTTAAACCATCCCAGCGTGGATAGGTCAGAGAGACAATATGTCTGTCTTCTCCCTGGGGTTTTGCAAGCATTTTTATAGATCAGGTAGGAGGAAAAAAGTATTTAAGCCATTCCGAAAGGATTTACATTACTAGTAGCTACAAAGAGAATGGATGATGGTAAGAGGGGCTAATGACAGGATGTGCAAGAGTCTGAAAGGAAGTGTGGGCTCCTAAGGATTGGGAAGTTCATGTGCAAATAAGTGGAGGCTCCTGGATTTCTGCAGTACCTGGCTGCAATCCTTTTAGATAATCCAGAAATAGCCACCTGGAAATTAATTCTAAATTCCATCAGATATACAGGAACGTGAGCAATCTTTTGTGAGAGCTGTTCCACAGCTGTTTTGTCTCTTTCTCTCACTCTGTGGAAGCTGTAATTTTAATTTAGAACATCTCAGAATTTTTTGGTAAAATCCTAAGTGGCATGATAGACTCTTTTTGCTCCTCTTGGAGTTAGCTTTACAGTTCTCTACTGAAGGAAGATAAGTGATTACTTTTTAACAAACTTGAGTATTTTACTATTAGTAAAAATAGTTGGATAAGTGGAAGTTAAGTTTCAAGAAGTTAAACTGAGAATCTCAAAAGCCAGGCTGTGATATTTGGACTCAGGCTCATTAGTTTTATTCAAATTATTACCATTCTTGAATCTCAACTTGCAGTTTGCTGAGGTTGCAAAATGAAGCAAAAATCTCAACATGAAATTATATGTTGGCTAATCTCTCCCTGGTGAAAGTTGAGTATTATGAACACCATTTATTTTCAGCCAAATAATAGACATAGGAGCTCAAATTGTAAGCAAAGCATCCGATGGACAAATGAAGGTCAGGCAGTTGGAGCAGTTTAGTCACTGGGTAGAGAAATCAACAAGGTACCATGAAAGAAATTAACTGGGAGAGGATCAGTGTTTGCAAAAGTAACTTTATGATAGTGGGTTAAAGTCAAACGTTTATCAAATGCTTGGATATGTCTAAGATGCCACTCTACATTCTTTCAGAATAACTGCATAGAAGTTATTACAATGAACAGAGAATTAATTAGTATAGTTCTATTTGATAGTTTTGGTTATAATCATAAGACTAAAAGTTTGGGTTTTTTATAGGTAGTATTTTGATTAATCCTTATTGTGTATAGTTTATGGTAAGATTTTTGGACATCAAATAGATTCACTTTAAGTGAGCTTTTCTTTGCTGATGATTATCCTCAAATAAATGAAGACTTCCTTTACTTAATATGTACAGGAATGATGGAAAGGCACTGAAAAGTTGTTTCGTTTTTTTTTTTGGCAGGGGTGGGGGTTAAGCTAAGTAAAAGTGAACTGGCTGTTAATTACCCTTGGGAAGTTTAATGGGTTACAGGAAAGAACCTTTTGGAATAGCAGAGGTCTAGGGTGGTAGCCGTCAAAAGAAAAGATTGACTTCCTTGACGTTGAGCCTTTATTACTTTTCCTAAAACAGTTTCTGAGGAAGGGGTCTCCAAAGCTAATTCTAAGAAGATGCTCTTAAAGGACATTGGGATATCAGGAGAAAGGGGTGGTGCACTGTTCAAATTTGGACTCACTAAGTTTAAGATTTTCGCTAGACTTCCAAGTGGAGAAAACCAGCAGGTAGTTGGAAATATTAACATAGAAGGATCAGTCATGTTATGGATTCAGAGAAAATGTTTTTCCCCCATTATTTAACCTGTAATTGCACAATAACACCCAATCATTTGGCTAACGATGTTTTTTTGACATGCACGAGAAAAAGCAACTATTTCCATTGTTGTAAAGATTTTATTGAAGAAACTTAATGAATATAAACACTTTATGGCTAAGTAAAGACAAACACTGTGGCTAAAAAATAGTGCAAGTGAATTTTGCTGAATCCATTAAAAATACAGGAGTATCTGTTTGGAATGTCAATGTATTTGAGGCTGGTTAAATGTGTAACAAGTTATATTAAATCAGTTGTAATACTAAAGTCACTGAACAAACCCTTCACACTAAAGTTTCCTGGGCTATTACTGTATTACTCCTTCCAGAGTGACTATGTTTTAGGTTTCTTCCTCCTATACATCTATTAATTCCTATTTTCAAGAGAAAATACCTTACCCAAATTCACCGGTGCTAACATTTCCTTCGCTGTAACCTATTGATTCCTAGGTTAATCCCAACAATATTTGAGTGACTGCCCCACCTGGCATGAGGTTACTATTAGTCTAGTACCATTCTCCTAACACATGTGGAATATTGCTTCTTTTCCCCCTTCAAATCAGAAAGGACTGCATGGTCGTGGATCTCAGAATTACTTATGAACCACTACCGCCGCCCTCTCCCTTAGCAAACACTGCAACATTATAACCTATGTACCTCTGCTGTGAAACTATATCTTTAAAGGAAAAGAGCCTGCAACATTTTTGAGAAAAACAAAACATGAAACAAATGCATATTCCCGAGCGGAATAATTTCCAACTCCAGGCAGGCAGAGGACCTAGTCATTACTCTAATGAATACCTTTTAGAGAGGCCGGCAGTCGGCTCTTCCTTTTCCAATTTAAAACTCATTAGATGGAGCAGTCAGGTGCGAAGTTTTTAAGGAGACCTCTAAAAGGAGCGTCTTTAGGCACAGGTGCCTGGGTAAGCCCCAGGCGAGTCAAGGGCCAGGTTTCTCAGCAGCTAGTCATTTCTTTCGTTCTTTAAAAGAAACAAAAGTGAAATTCCTTCATAGTCTATTTTCTGGGCGCTACCGGATACCCCGTTCCGGAAGGAGTAGGGAAAATAGATGACAGGGTGACGGGGAGGGAGGAGGCAAAGGAATGACATTAGAAGTTAGACCAGGATTCTGCCAGTCCTATTATTCCGGCATGGCACGGGCGCTGACGGAACCAGGCTTCTCCTGCTGTTTTTTCGGGTCTGGTATAAATGAACCCGACGCTCACAGGAGAAACCTCTCTCCTTCCCTCTGTTTTCCAAACGTACCTCTCCTCTTATACTCCCGATTCTCCCGCCCTAGGGCCGCACAGATGGGGTTCTTGCCCTCTCTCTCCTAACCCCCCTCACGAAAGAAGCGGGGTCACTCCCCTCCTCTTTGCAGATGCTTCAGCCACTGCACGCAAATCAGTATCTAACTGTGATATTCCTGACTTCTCTACTCCGGACAGCCCACGCTCTTCTACTCGGCCCGTGGATCCCCCTGGGAACGTGGCCCTCCTGTCCGCGCCTCCGCGGCCGCCGCCCCTCGCTGCCCCGGACGCGAGCCTGTGCACGAGCCAGAGCGGCGCCGGGAGAGGCGCGCGTGGCTGCCCGCAAGCTCCAAGAGAGCGCCCGCCCTCTCCCCCCCCGACAGGTCTACACGTGACTGGCCCGCGCCCAGTTACCTACTCCAAGGTGGGGGGATGAAGGGAAGGGGACGAAAGAAGATGCACGTGTCCGAGGCTGCAGTCTCCAAGGAAGCCGGTGCCGCCGCATGAGACGTAGCCGTGCTCGCAGTTACGAGGATACGCACGCGCGCCCTCCCGGCACCCGTCCAACCCCCGCCGGGACGGAGCCTTAGCCGATTACCTTCCGGGGCAGTGCGCTTCTAGGAGGGAAGCGGGCGGGCACTTCTGAAAGTCTCCTAACTCTTCCGGGACGCCTCTCGGGGAGCGGACTCGGGTGTTTGTGAGCGTGTGCAAGCGTACTCTGAAAGTACGCCCCACAATTCTCCCCCTCTGCTCTCTTCTCTGCCACTTCCTCCTTGCTTTAGGGACCGGAAGAGTTCTTGAGCCAAAATAGCTCGGCGGGCACTTCCGGGGCTGGAGAAGTAGGTTCCGGGTGGTGCTGGACTCAGAGGCAGCGGCGGCGGCTGGAGGATGAAGAAGGAGCAGGTGCTGCACTGTCAGTTCTCCGCGTGGTACCCACTCTTCCGAAATATCACCATCAAGAGGTAACTCAGGAGGGGCCTACTCCGGGACCATGGCAAAAGAAAACTGCGACATTTTGGGGCAAATTCTATCTCCATAAAAAAATGCATTAAGTAAAAAATGCAGGCCTTTGTGGGATGGGAGCGCCAAAGCCGAGATTTCGACTTCCTAATGATATTTCAGGTGGGGAGATTAATGAAGTCGATCCATATTTGCTGTGCGTTCTGTTGCGGGTCAGAGAGTGTGCCAGAAGGTTATGGCATGGCTCAGAGAAGGTCAGAGGCTGGTGAATAGTGGGTTAAGCCAGTTTAGGCTTGGGAGTTCACCATCATTGTGTTTAGAATTACCGGACAGGGGAGGAGATCAGGAGAACTGGGTAGTCCCGGCGTTGCCACTGACTAACCCAATTATATTGTGAAGCTCCAATGTGACGGTGTAGAATAGATGGAAAGCGTTAGTATAGCTACATATTCTTAGGAATGCTTGTACTGCAAGAGGAAGCTATCTGGAAAAGCTGTGGAACAATATTTGTTTTCTAGTTCTCCACCCTACAATCAAGGACTCCATCCCTATTTTGCAGGGCAAGCATAGGATTAACTGTTTCATCCTTCACCCAGGAAATTCAAGTATTGTAGGCAGGACAGCTAGGAGAATATCCCCAAATGTTCAAAAGCAATCATACCATCTGGAGCAAGATGCAAGGGTAGGTTTTCATTCACTAAGAGGCATAGAGCAAAGAACTGCATGTCTATGGATAGCATTTTCTGTTCTTTGCCTAATCCTCTGTTAGGCCTAGTTTCCAGTTATTTAGATATCAACTGTCCCTTGCTTTTCATTCTGTCCCCTTAGTGCAGAAAGTGTGAATGCAGAGAGGGAAACTGTTTTGAAATCCTGAGGGATTGAAAGAGCATAAAGAGATTATTCAAGACAATTCTTTTCCATCCTCTTATTCAGACATAGAATCAGCTTCCAATTACTCATGGTGTAGTGGAGGTTAGAGTAGCTCAAAGGAGGATGACCTTTGCATTTGAAGAAGGTCAAAGTCACACCGAAACAAAAGAGCTTCAACAGCAGCAGTGGACATTACCTCCTATCCTAGAAGTAATTTTGCTATATGATATGCCAATCTTTCATTACCTTGCATAATTGAAATAGGCTGTGGGTCTGAGGTAATGATAGAGTTATTTGTTTTGGGTCGCTACGATATAAGGTATGTTTGTGAACCTGTCAGACAGTTCACACTGAGTTCGCTTAAAACGGGCATTTACTTTCTGTGCAGTTCTTTTGCAGCCTCTGGTGTACTTTTTCTTTGCCTTCAGCAGTAAAATATAATGGTTAAGAATTGGACTCTGGAGTCAGGGCCACCTGCCTGGCTTTGAATTTTGGTTCCACCAGCGTCTTGAGCAAAGTGTGTAATCTAAGTCCTATCTGGGAAATTGAGACAGTAACAGCCTTATCATGGGAATTAAATGAGATAAAGCATTTAGGATGCTTGCCACTGTTTCTGGCATATAGTAACCAAATTTGCTGCATGTAGTTACATTTTAGATTTTTTAAGCTCAATTGAAGCAAAATAATTTTAGTTTACTTAAAATGTGCAACATTCACATGAAGCTGAGAGAGAAATAAACCAAGAGGTGGGATTTTCTGAACAGTCAAAAACTAAATTGTGCTTCCTGAAACCATCCTTTACTCCCTTTAAACTCTTCAGCAGGGGTCCTCAAACTTTTTAAACAGGGGCCAGTTCACTGTCCCTCAGACCGTTGGAGGGCCGGACTATAGTTTAAAAAAAAACCTATGAACAAATTCCTATGCACACTGCACATATCTTATTTTGAAGTAAAAAAACAAAACAGGAACAAATACAATATTTGTATTTGCATGTGGCCCGCGGGCCGTAGTTTGAGGACCCCTGCTCTTCAGTGTAGTCCCTTATGTGGTGAGATCACTGAACCTAATATTGGCAGGATACCCCTCCACAGCTCAGGCCAGTCGGGTGGAATTGTTAGCTTTGCCATTGCCATTGTCAGCTTTAATGCTGAGAGACTATATTATATTCTGGTTTTTTTTTTTTTACTCAGCATTATTACTTAGGGTCAGGGGTGATTATGCGCTTAAGAATAGTAGTACATTTTTTGGTAAGTTCTAGAACTTTGACTCAGGCTTATGAACAATTAGCTAGAGGACTTTGGGCCATCCACTTTACCTTTCTTTCTTCCCTCAAACATGAAAGTTATAGTAATCTTATAAAGGCCCCTTCTACCTCTAAAATTTTATTAGAGTAACTTGTCTGTATATACATAACTCTATCAGCCTGGTGGTGTAGGTACTTTGTCATTTAAGTCTTTTACATCTTCCAGTTAAGCCCATTGGATTCTTGCCTGCGTAATAGATTTCAATGACCAATTTAAGCTCTTCTCTGACAGCCTTATGTGTAAAGCATGCCTGGCAATGACTTGTTCTATGGCTTCAGTCTTTCAGGCATGATTCCTTTTTCCTCTGAGTTTTGATAGCATTTGGTACATCTTGGCCCAGCATTTACCATATTATTCTGTGATTTTTTTCCTTTTATATCTTTCTCCCTCATAGGCTTTGCATTCTTTTTATTTTTTTTATTTATTTTTTTATTGACTTTATAAGTACCGAGTGCTAACCGATTGCACCACTGGAGCTCCTTTATTGACTTTAGAGAGAGAAGAAGGGAAGGGAGAAAGAGAAATATTGATGTGAGAGAGAAACACAGATCTGTTGCCTCCCATATGTGCCCCTAACAGGGATCAAACCCACAACCTGGGTATGTGCCCTGATCGGTAACTGAACCCGCAGCTCTTTGGTGCACGGAACAAAGCTCCAACCAAATGAGTCACACTGGCCAGGGCAGGCTTTGCATTCTTAATGGAATCACCTTGGTATCCTCCTTGACTTACAGGATATAATGCAAGATAAATCATAAGGATGAGTTTAGAAATGACTGCAGAACTCAGTGACTCATGAGAACTAGAATCCAACTTGATATCACCTAATAGAGGTAAGAGTTGTAGACCCTCCAAATAGGAAGAATATGCAAATAATTTATAATAGAATCAAACAGTAAATAGATGTTTTGAATCTAATCAAGGGATGATACAACTTGGAAGGAAAGCCCATATTCAAATCAGACTTGAGAATTAGTGTACTAAAAAACAAATGACATGGACTCTGAAATCATGGATTTGGGGACTGAGAGACTTTATTGACATAAAAGAGGACCCTGTCTGCTCTCACTGTGGTCAGAAAAATCACCCTAGATGTCTAGGAGCTGGCATTCCTGCCAACATTTCTGTCTCAGGCCCCTGATAAGATAAACTTCATATTCTCTTGGAAAGGTGGTCTCTAATTCTCTTGGGATGACATTGTTACTTTAGTGGGTATCTTTAACCCTAGGAAGAACTAGAATTAAACAGAGGTGATGAAATAATTCAGACTTAAGAATTTTATCTTTTTTTCTAAGTTTATTTAATATCTTTAAAATTTTGCCATTTTGAGGATAATTAGCATCTACCCTATATAATAGAGAGCTAATATGCTAGTTAGACTGGACAGCCAAATGACCTTCTGGATGTCCTTCCAGATGACCGCCTGGATGAAGCTGGGGCTGCGAGGGCCAGCCAGGGCTGTGAGGACTGGCTGGGGCAGCCAGGGGTGCGAGGGCCGAGCCCCTTGCATGAATTTTGTGCATCGGGCTTCTAGTATATATAAAAACCTAAGTGACCGTTATGACTGGATGACCAGCTGGTAGCTATGACGTTCACTGACCACCTGAGGGCAAACGCTCAACGCAGGAGCTTCCCCCGGTGGTCAGTGCACTCGCACAGCCAACTTTCTGCAGCTGGCCAACCTCCCACGGTTCCTCCCCCAACCCCCATCAGCTCCAATTGCTGGCCAGTCCAAGGGACCTCACTGGTGCACGAATTCATACACCGGGCCTCTATTCTATACTAATAAAAGTCCAGGCATCACAACTGGAACGACCAGAGACCAGACCACCATGGCCCCTTGCAAGTCTGGCCCCGCCCCCAAGCAAGCGGTTAGGGGCAATCAGGCAGGCAGGAAGAGTGGTTGGGGTGATCGGGCAGGCAGGCCAATGGTTAGGGGCGATCAGGTAGGCAGATGGCCCCTTGCAGGGCTGGCCCCACCCCCCAGCAAAGAAGGAGGAAGGCCCAGGCCAGCCAAGCCATCGCACCCCAGCCTGTCGCCTGCAGAGGGAGGCCACCGGTGGCAGGGGAGGGGGGGCAGCGCTGTACAGACGGCAAGCAGTGGCAGTGGCGGGGGTGGGGCCAGCTGCCTGCAGCTGCGGGGAGGAAAGTCCTGCTAGGCCCTGATCTCAAGCCAGGCCTAGCGACCTTACCCGAGGAGTCCCAGATTATGACAAGCTGCAGGCTGGGCTGAGGGACCCCCCTGAGTGCACGAATTTTCATGTACTGGGCCTCTAGTCCTAATATATAAAGAGCCAGGGTCCATCATGACCTAAATGACCAGATGGACGACTGAACACCAGGCTAGGGAGCTGAGGGAGCAGGAGCTGTGGGCCCCCGGCTGCCCGTGGTGCCATGGCGGAGGAGGGAGCTGTGGGCCCA